ATGTCTCCAAATATGGTGACAAGGATATTGTATTTTTTTTTTTAAGAGAGATTTTTGCTGTATGACACGAGCACTTGCCAAACAGACAAGGAGACAGAAAGCAAGAAATCACCCCCCAGGGGCCACACTGCAATCCCTCTCCTCCAATTCTCCTTTTGGGATTTTGGGGACACAGCCACATACCTGGTGTGTTTCAAGCCCTCGGGTCTGGGACTGAACTGTGGGGTCCAGCAATGTAATCGTTACACCATGTGCTGTGCCCATATTCGTGGTTTTAATGTGCATTTCCTAATTACTAGTAAGGCTGAATGAGTATCTGTTTGTCATTATAAGGCCCTCTCTGGTTTTTTTTCTGTGAAAGGCCTGCCTATGTTTTTTTTTTTCTTTTCCTTTTTTTGGAGAGATTTTTGCTATAGGGCTTGTGCACTCGCCAGACAGACAGAGACAGAGAGACAGAAAGCAAGAAATAACCCCCCAGGGGGGATGGCCACGCTGCAATCCCTTCTCCTCCATTCTCCTCTCGGAATCTTGGGCACACACGCACACGCGCCCGGCGTGAGTTTAAGCCACCGGGTCCGGGACTCGAACCGCTGTCGACTACATGGGAGTCCAACGACATAGCCATTACACTAACTGCTGGTCCCCTGCCTGTGTTTGATGTCTATCCCATCTGAGAAGTTTTCTTTTTCGAGAGGTTTTTGCCATAGGGCGCGTGCACTTGCCAGACAGAGACAGAGAGACAGAAAGCAAGAAATCACCCCCCAGGGGGCATGGCCATGCCACAATCCCTTCTCCTCCATTCTCCTCTCGGGATCTTGGGCACCCAAGCACACGCGCCCGGCATGAGTTTTAAGCCACTGGGTCCGGGACGTGAACCGCGGTTGACTACATGGGAGTCCAGTGACATAGCCATTATGCTAACTGCTGGTCCCTCTGAGCGGTTTTCATTAGTGATTTCTACTCAGGTGCTTGTTAACAGTTATGTATATGAAGGGTCTTCAATAAGTTCATGAAAAATGCATAACATCAAAAACTAAACTACGAATTAAAAACTTTTTTGGCACCAAAATAAACTCAGACTTTAATACCACCTTTCCACAAACTTCTTGACATCACCTTGCATACTGTAAACATCTATACCTTAGTCCAGATTGAGCTTAATTTTTCAAAATGGCATTGCTGGCAAATAAAAGTACTTACTGTCGGTGTAGCCAAATCATCTTTGATTGATGCTTTGCTCTTAACTGCATTAAATCTATTAACCAATTTGGAGAAAGTTCAGAACTGGCTCATACTGAGTCTTTTAATCTATTATTACATATCCTTTCCATTTGTTTAGGTCCATAAAGTTTTGTTGTTTTTTCATTGTGTTATCTCATTAAGAATGATAACACTTTTTTTAAAGAATTCTTTTTATTTAACTTTATTTATTTATTTTAATTTGTCGAGAGAGAGAGAGAGACAGCAAGCCACCAGGTCCGGGACTCAAATCATGGTCAGCCATGTGGGAGTCCAGTGCCCTTGAAAATCATGCCATCTGCTGGCCCCAAGAACAATATGCTTTTTAAGACAGATTCTCAGGTTTGTCCAACTGGAAGTTATAGTCCTTCATTACATTTTAAAAATGTAAAATCCTTCTGCTTGTAACTGGTCTATGGAAATAAAATCAACATTTGTATATTGGTTTTATCCCAGCAACCTTGATATTCCTTATAGGTTCTTTGAATTTTCATAGACAATCTCATCATTACAATTTTAATCCATTAATATATGAGTCACATTAGCTGATTTTTTAAAATATTCAATCAATCTTGCATTCCTAAAACTAATCTAATTTGGTCATCATTTGCTATATTTTAAACTGATCAAACTGTTAGGTTTGGCTGGCAAAAAATACTTATTTTCCTACTGAAGGATGCAACAAGGTTTTGTCTGTGTATGTGTACGTATATATAAGCCATCTTCCACAAGTTCACAGAAAATGCCAAAAATAACGATCCATGGATTTCACTGCATCAAAATAAATGCATACTTTAATTCCATTTTTCCATGAACTTTATAAATCTCATATACCCATCAGATCAAATCTAAGGTCCATAAAGTTTTGTTGTTTTTTCATTGTGTTATCTCATTAAGAATGATAACACTTTTTTTAAAGAATTCTTTTTATTTAACTTTATTTATTTATTTTAATTTGTCGAGAGAGAGAGAGAGACAGCAAGCCACCAGGTCCGGGACTCAAATCATGGTCAGCCATGTGGGAGTCCAGTGCCCTTGAAAATCATGCCATCTGCTGGCCCCAAGAACAATATGCTTTTTAAGACAGATTCTCAGGTTTGTCCAACTGGAAGTTATAGTCCTTCATTACATTTTAAAAATGTAAAATCCTTCTGCTTGTAACTGGTCTATGGAAATAAAATCAACATTTGCATATTGGTTTTATCCCAGCAACCTTGATATTCCTTATAGGTTCTTTGAATTTTCATAGACAATCTCATCATTACAATTTTAATCCATTAATATATGAGTCACATTAGCTGATTTTTTAAAATATTCAATCAATCTTGCATTCCTAAAACTAATCTAATTTGGTCATCATTTGCTATATTTTAAACTGATCAACTGTTAGGTTTGGCTGGCAAAAAATACTTATTTTCCTACTGAAGGATGCAACAAGGTTTTGTCTGTGTATGTGTACGTATATATAAGCCATCTTCCACAAGTTCACAGAAAATGCCAAAAATAACGATCCATGGATTTCACTGCATCAAAATAAATGCATACTTTAATTCCATTTTTCCATGAACTTTATAAATCTCATATACCCATCAGATCAAATCTACTGGTAATGCTATTTAAATCTTCTATGTCTTCCATAATATTCTTAATTATCTGGTCTTCTGCATGGCCTATTAACTACTGAAGGAAGTATTTTAAAATGTCCATTATATTGGTAAACTAATCTATTTCTCCTTATAGTTGTGTCCATTTTTTTCTTTATGTATTTTGAGGTATATTACTAGACATGTGGGTGACTAGGACATTTAAAATTGTTATATTTGTCTGACTCTCTGTATCACTAGTAATTTAGGGGAAGGGAGGACTTACTACTAACATGGGAAAACAGAAATTCAAAAAACAATGTACCCAAAAATGCACACCTAGCTAAAATGAGACAAAACTTTGTTCTCAGATTCTACATGTGATATTCTTCCTCTTATCAGGATTTTTGAAATTCTAAATGTCTTAGAATTTTGGATTACTGAGAAACAGACCACAAGGAAATAAACACATAAACACACACAGAAGCTGGTTCTAATAGAAAAGTTTTGACTGGGTAAAAAACAAAAACAAATTTGCTAAATGAAGGGAGAGGGTTTTAAAACACTCTATTTGGCTGGGTAGAGGAGTGAAGGAAACTATAAGGTGATTGCAAAGAAGATCACTGAAAGCAGCTCTATGAGCAAACTAAGAAACAGATACCATCACACCAGGCATTAGGTTTTACAAAAGAGGAGCTGAGAAATGGCATTTTGAGAACATGGAAGGAAAGAACAAGAGAAAGCAAAAGAAACTAAAATTGTAAAGTAAGGATACAAAAAATCCAGGGCATAGTACTCATTTCATTGCAAGAAAATGCAAAGGGTTAAGAAAGGTGTGGGATAATCCATGCGAAAAACTCCAAGTCAGAAAATTTTGATTAAAGGTCTAAAGAAAGACACTGCACATGTGTTTTTTTTTTTAAACCTGTATATATGGATACACACACACATACATCTTTACATATACACATACTGTATGTATATGGAATACGTAACTATGTGTATATATAGTCACACACACACACACACACACACACACTCCCCATTTGTTTTACCACTGGTCTATAGAGAGGTCAAGAGATAGACACTCACGCTACAGGCTTGTAAACTGTGGTAACAGGTACGTGCTCAGTATGGTTTATCATTTATGAGGCATTATCAACATTTAATAAGCAAAATCTAGTATACCATGGCAAAGTTCTAATGACCTAAGTATCAAGACCAAGGACATCTGTGCAAAATGCATAACATAATGCGAAAAACTCCAAGTCAGAAAATTTTGATTAAAGGTCTAAAGAAAGACACTGCACATGTGTTTTTTTTTTTTAAACCTGTATATATGGATACACACACACATACATCTTTACATATACACATACTGTATGTATATGGAATACGTAACTATGTGTATATATAGTCACACACACACACACACACACACACACTCCCCATTTGTTTTACCACTGGTCTATAGAGAGGTCAAGAGATAGACACTCACGCTACAGGCTTGTAAACTGTGGTAACAGGTACGTGCTCAGTATGGTTTATCATTTATGAGGCATTATCAACATTTAATAAGCAAAATCTAGTATACCATGGCAAAGTTCTAATGACCTAAGTATCAAGACCAAGGACATCTGTGCAAAATGCATAACATAACAAGGCCAAGGACATCTGTACAACATTTATTTCATAGTATGAAACTATCATAGTGATAGTACGAACCTTAGTACAGGAGTGATTCAAAATCCACCAAGAGTTAAAGGTCAGAGCCTGTCAGTGGCTTTGTATCCCAGGTCAATAAGACTTTTATTCACCATTTCTTTTTTCTTGGATTCATAAAAACAGCTGATGTACAGAGCACCCTGTTTGAGTTCACCTTCTGACAAACAAGCCCCACAGGGGATTAGATTTCATTGCTCCACCCTGGTTCTGGCTATGCTGGTGAGTGGCAAAAGCCTCTTGCCTAAATTGGACCTTCAAATTGTTTATAAGCATTCCTGTTTCTAGTCACAGCTCCTCACAATCTCACGTCTGAGTTAAGTTCTCCTAACTTGCATGGCTGTAAGACTTACCAACAGGACTGATGAGAGCAAGTAAATTCCTGTTCAACAAAATACACCCTTCTACGGGGATATCCAGTCTTACAGTATTTAGTACACAGTCACAACATTAAAATGGCATGTGAGAATCAATACAAAATATTTATTTTTTTCCAAACCACAGAATCTTTAATCCCAGATCCACGCTATAAATTTACCAGAATTGTAAGCCATTAACATTTTTCTAAACAATGCAGTCCAACCGGAAATAAAGGTAATTTTCCACCGGCATGGGTGTGTTATACACTACTGTTTTACAGAATGGCTCTCTGAGTAGCATTTTCTTAAATTCTCCCACAACCACTCTGTCAACATAAGCAGAAAGTATTCCCACCACTCTACTCTGAAAAGAGATCCACAAGAGGGTCTTGGTCAATGGAAAAGGGAAGATGTCAGTGACTTTCACTAATCAACAGTATAAGAATGATTTCCCTTGGAAAAGAACAGAGATCCTTTTATATATTGTGGTGGCCAAAAACTGGGGCAGAATTCATCAGGAAGATGAAAGCAATAGGAGAGAACCCTTATGACCTCCATTTTAACTTGATAAAATGAACTTTGTCTTATGCAATATTACTGAAAACAGTAACCACAACCAAAAAGGCCTAATAAGCCTGTTACAGGTGTCAGTCAAGGGAGTCACATTCTGACCTTGAATTTTAAAGCCCCCTTAAATGAAGAGGTGTGGACTTGGATTAAAGTAAATACAATATTCTAAACTAAAAAGCTCAATAAGACACCCTAAAATAATTAACCAAAACATCCAAACAATGGCTGGATAGCTAATGTAGGTTTTTTTGTTTTGCTTTTTAACTATGAATTTTTTTAGGATCTCAGATTAGTGTATATTCGGTAAGATAATGCTCAGTTATTTTAATAATAGCTGCTTATTAAAAAATTGAATTTTAGCTTAAGGCAATGCCTCCTGATAATAATCACAAAGATAATTAACTGGTATAAAACAAACAAACAAAAAATACAGAAGAAAATACAGCCAGCCTCAATAATAAGACAAGTCTGGAAGGGTTAAAGGGAGATTAAACAAGACTATTTAAATACTATGTTACAAGTGCACCTGCTTACTTCATAACTGCAGAAACCCATTTGTTTGCTAGATCACCATTACCTTTGTTAGTAGGTGTACAGACCACCACTCTGAAGTTATCCTTTTGTGCTGAAAACTTTCAAATCCCTTGTTTGGTCAGTACAAAATATTGCAAGGTGATGCACGTGCAAACTCTTCCTGAGGAATTATTTATGTGTGCAAATTTGCAGCCTTATAGAAAGCATGGCATACAGCAAGGGGAGTGGCAGCGGTAGAGGTCTGAGCACTGGGGACGTGTGTAGCATTCATGGCCACAGGCATTGGTTCTTCTGCAATATCATCTACCCACAAATCAGCTTTCATTCTAGAACCCAAGAAAGGGATGATGACTGCTGTAAACTCGCAAAAGGGACCAGGTCTGTGTTTATACCCACTAACCTACCACCTATGGACTACGAGGCTCTGAGTCACACCACCAGCCTTCGCTTTCTGCCCCACAGAAAACAAAGCAGTGAGTCCTGTTGGTTAGGGTGCAGCTGTGACAACTGAGTTCATGAGATGACACCGTTACTGAAGTTTAAGGCCAACTTTAAAATATATACCAATACATACTGCCTGTCAAAACAAGTTATCAACTATTTACTTTTACATGTCATCATTTCAAGATAACTGATCTGGTTTTTTTAAGGGTCTAATTTCAGGCTGCACATATATACTAGTAAGGTTAGTCAAATCAATTATGTATACTGACTAATCAACCAATCAATCTGCATATACTATTTTCTGTCTTCAATGATTTGGGCCTTCAATGATTCGATATAAAAAGTCAGTAATAAATTGGGTTGGAAAACTGTATACTGTACTGGCAAGAAATATACAAGTAAATTTGACAAGAAAATACTTTCTGGCAAACAGTACTAGACAATACAAAATGGGAAAGGTCAGATTTTATTTTCTCTAATGTTCTAAACTAAGAATTCTGTTAATTTTCAGTTAAAGAAGTTTTTCATACTGCAATGATGTCAAGGGGCCATGATGAGTAACAACTAGGACACATGCGCTGGGGACATGTATATACCCTTCCTCTAGAGCCTTCCAATAATCAAGCTTAGAGTACCAAGCCCCGACTCACAGCTGGCTGCAGTCACTGCAAACGTTTAGAGATACTACATTTTGCAAACTCTGCCTACATTTTGTTTACACGTACGCAATCATAAAAAAGAATATAAAATATTTCTCCATTGGCTTAATAATACAAAAGCATCCAAAGATGTCAATGCCAATTCACATCTTAATACAATGCTTTTATAGGGAAAATTCCGTTGTTTGCCAAAAAAGAAGGTTTGCTCCAGAAAAAGCAGCTGGGTACATAGTAGGATAGTGAAGAACTCATCCACATTTGAAGAAAAGTTCTAGTTTTATTCCTTTCAGAAATATTAAAACAATTCAGGAGAGACTTCGGTTCCAGGTGTTACTTATGAGCCTGCAGCAAATACCCCATTGAGGAAAGTAAAATTTGCACTTCATGATAAAATGAATCTTCCTTGACACTAGAATGTTCCTGGTGTAGCAAAATAGAGCCTGTATATGTTCTTACAGTAATCAATATGTTCCAAGATGCTCAGAGTTAGACATGTCCAATTAAAATCCTCTACAATGTCCATTAACCCTGGCTGATAAGTACTTAAAAAAAATCTGACGTTTTCCTTTGACGTCTTTGTATAATTTCCCAATCTAAGACCCCTACTCAGACAACTTACTTGCTCCCAATATGTGACTTCTAACTCTCCCTTCCACCCCATTCTCAAAAAAGGATAACTGAAGTGTCAGAGGTAGCTCTATGAAAAACCTACAAAACAGACCCTGGTATGTCTCCCACTCTACCCCAACCAATGTCAAGCTCTCTGAATAGGTAAATATTATTAGTCATCTGGAGCCCAATGGAGCCTATGAGCAATTCAGACTCAAGCAAAATTGAGAGAAAAATATTTTTCCCTTGACACGTCTATTTTTCTGTTTCTTTCAAAAACTAGAAAAGCTTCAGACTTTTAGGAAGAGCTAAAGAGCACTGTGGGCATGGAGAAACACAAAATATAGCTCTGCCACAGCTGGAAGGGCACCTTAAAACAGCAGTGCTAATTCTTTCCCATTACATTAAAATATAATGTTTAATAGATGCAGGACTGTAGTTTGTTTTTATTTTTCTTAAGTACTTATCTCACCCATTTAAAATGAAATGGATTGGGAACCCCAGATTGTTGATTGCACTGGGATTTAATGACTATCTCTGCTTCCTAGAGCATCACAGGAAGCAGCTCTTAATAATTCTCAGCATTAAAGGGAGCTTCAGTGCTCAAGTACTGCCCATCCCTAACCTGGAGTACTGCCAAGACTACAGCAGCTGGGGAAACCACGTTCAGCAACAGAGGGAATGGAAATAAACGCTCTCTGAGAGTTGGTCCCCAACATCAACACAAATATGCCTCAGTGAGGCAAGGGAACGTCTAATGGGTAACACACTTCCATTTTCCCACTCAATTAGCATCCTGCTATAAAGTCACACAGATATTTTGGTGGGTTATCTGGGATACCATTAACTTCTCCAGGAAGCATCTGTGAGTTTGACAACATGGTCACACAGTTGCAAAGTGCACAAAGCTCAAGGCACAGAGTAGAAAAAAGTTGTGAACTAATGGGGCAAAAAGTTCTAGCAAAAGCAGAGTTAGCATTTTCCTTTAACAATAACAAGACTTTCTAATGCTAAACAAAGACCAACTCTTTTAAAGGGGTTGTTTTGGTTATGGGTGAAAAAATACTGTATTATAATGATCTGCTTAGTTTTAAAGCAAAAGATATCTTGACATGTGAAACCAATATGCCAAAGTGCTGAGTCCACAAATGAACAAAACAAGTGCTTTAAGGAGAGGAAGAAAAAAAAAAGATTCTTCTGCTCTTGTATTTTTGGAGGAAGCTGCTGATTTTGGCCGTCGAATATCACTTAGCAATGATCGCTTTCCAAGATGCATGTTCCTCACAGAATCTGTAGATAAGCTCATTAAGATTGTCCCATTTCAAATCACCCCCAAGTCTAGCAGCAACTGTTTTTAGGTTTTGTTTTTTGTTAGTTTTTCTTTTTTAAAATTACAAACCAAAGTAAGAGTCCAACATCCTCTTCTAAGAACAGCTTTGTGACAGAGCTCCTGAGTGTCTGCAGGCCCCCGCTGTGCTCTGAATACAGTCTCTGCAGCTCCAGTGTGTCCTCTTTTCCGGAAGGAAAGTACATTCAATACATTCACTATCTGTACCCCCTGGAACTTGCACATGCTGACGAGCTGTCTGAAAAAACATCAGAACAGAAGAAGTATGAATAGCAGATAGCATTTGACAGTGGTAGAAATGTGTTTATTTAAAATTTCTTATTCTTCTCCCAAGTCCTTGAAAGAGGACCTTAAAACCCCTCAAAACCACATGGTTTGGAGTGAAGTAAATAGAGGCCAAGATTATCAGTAACTGGAATTGGACCATTATCCCATCGTAGCAGAGACAAAAGAATCTGGTGGCTTCTTGACAAATGCTTGAGAATCACCACCAACAACTGGACATCAGAAGTGCCACAGCTGCAGAACAGCCGACCCCGATCACACATATGCTGTGTGAGAACACTGTGGGTATCATTATGCTCCTGCACAATTATTGCCAGTGGATGCCTTACATCACCTAACCATCGAAGGTGGGAAGGAACATCATTACTTACTATAAGCCAACTCATCCCCGGCTCTCTTACGGGACTGGTCACCTCTAGGGATAAGAAAAGAAAAGGCAGTCAACAGAACTGACTGACTTCACACACCAAGACAGGAGAATTAAGTCGGCATGATTGATAATGAAAATAGAGCAGATATTTCACTTCTACCCCTATTTTAAAACAGACATTAAACATAAGCTAAGTCATTTATAACCTGAATATTTTTAGCTAAAGGGTGCTATCTCAAATACAGAAAGCTATTAAATGAAGAAAGGATCATTTATAAAGATGGTTTACATTAAGTTCAGAAAACAGATTCAGACTTTGTCTCTGAAGATAAACTTTGGTTCTTCTATCCACATCCCTGGTGACCTGCACCTATTAGGGTAAATTTCAAATATGAAATAGAATAATTAAAAAAAAAACTTAAAAAAAGTCTTACTGAGACTAAAAACTGCTTAAAGCCTTTGAAAAAAAATTTTAGAATCTCACACCTTAATACACTTTTTGAAGGCAGGACATGAATCTTCACATTTATTAACCAGTTCATCCTCAACTGCCTACAAATGAAACTCTAGCTTCACTTCATAGTTAAGATTAAGTAGAAGTTCTAGAGCCAGCCACTGGTAAGGCAGTTAAGGTGGCTGGATCTCACATGGCTGGCCCTGTGGTTCAAGTCCCAGACCTGGCCGCTTGAGAAACATGCTGGCCATATGTGTATGTGTGCCCAAAATCCCCAAAAGAGAAATGGAGAAGGGCCTGCAGCATGACCATCCCGCCCGGGGGGGGTGGGCTTTCTCTCCCTCCCCCATCTCCAGTGAGTGCATGCACCCTCTAGCAAATTAAGGAAGGAAGAAAGGAAGGGGTTCTGTGTAAGTCCCATTCTACCTGTACATCCTATTTTTTTTGTCTCTCCAGTTTTTCATACAATAATCCACACAAATGACTAACATGCTTCAACAGTGATTGATAATCACCAGTTTGCCAGTGTTTTATTCCTCAGTCTCTTAGTGGTATTTATATACTTGATCTTTCCTTCCTGAAACACTTTCTCCATAGCCTGACCTTCCTTCTCTGCCATTTGCTATACCCTATAATCTCCTTCGGAACTAAAAAAAAAAAAAAAAAAAGACATTCTGTCCTTAGTCGTCTTTCCTTCTCTATGCACATTCTTCTTCTCGGATAGTGATCCTGTGGCTTTAAATACTCTCCACGTGCCAGTGGCTCCCTGACTTAACATATCTAGCTCTGACTTCTTCCCTA